GCTCTGAGCTGTCAGCACAGACCCCAACCTGGGGCTTGAACTCACGAGCTGTGAGATCATGACCTGAGCTGAAGTCAGACACTTAACCTACCGAGTCACCCAGGTGCCCCAAATTCCCCATTTTTATAAAGACACAGTCATACTGGATTAGGGCTCATGCTACTGAGTTTGTATTGATGGAATGCAAAGGCTATTCCCAAATAAGTTCACAGTCATAGGTACTGGGATTTAAGACTTCAATATACTTTAAGGGAACAGGATTCAATCCATAGCATTTTCCCCATCCTGAGTTATTCCTTCAGTGTCAGCCAGAGTGAGTCCTTCTCTATAATGTCATAGATGTTTCTCCTCTGTTCACAAATGCTCGATGGTTTCTCAATCCAGTTAGTATAAAAGCCATCATTCTTTAGGGGTCTGCACATCCCTGAAGACTTGGCTTCTCGCCACGGACTCCCACCACTTCCATCTGACCTCCTATTTCTCCCCTTTCTCACTTTGTTTCAGTTCTTTTGGTTTCTTTGCTTTTTCTTGAACATAAGGCAAGTGTGCTTTACTCACAGCCATTGCACTTGCCGTTTCTTTGTCTTACGCTAGTCTCCCAGTTACATCCATGACTGACACACCTTCCCTTCATTCACATTTATTCAACTGTCTGTTTCCCAGAGAGGCTTTCCCCAAATGAAATAAAAGCTCTGAGTAAAAAAATTGCAAAAAGTAGCTCTACCTTCCCCACTCCACCCCACTGCCTCATCCCTTATCCTGTTTCCTTTTCCTCCATAGCATGTATGATACATTCAGTTACGTACCCAATGTTTCTCTTCCCTGGCGTGCCGTTTGAAGTAGAGCAAGGACTTGGTCTTATTCATTCAGTTCCATATGTCCATATTGCCCTGGTGGGAGGTAGATTTGAGTACATAGATTTTGAGTGGAAGGTTGAATGAATGAACTAATGAATGAATGTGCTTTGAACAGAGCCTTTCATTTTATTTTATTTTATTATTTTATTTATTTGTTTATTTTTAAAATATAATTTATTGTCAAATTGGTTTCCGTATAGCATCCAGGGCTCAACCCAACAGGTGTCCTCCTCAATGCCCATCACCCACTTTCCCCTCTCCCCAACCCGCCATCAACCCTCAGTTTGTTCTCAGTATTTAAAAGTCTCTTATGCTTTGCCTCCCTCCCTCTCTGTAACTGTTTTTCCCCTTTCCCTTCCTCCATGGTCTTCGAACAGAGCCTTTTATATAATGAGTCCTAAATAAGTATTATTTATAATTCTTTTTTTTTTTTAATTTTTTTTTCAATGTTTATTTATTTTTGGGACAGAGAGAGACAGAGCATGAACGGGGGAGGGGCAGAGAGAGAGGGAGACACAGAATTGGAAACAGGCTCCAGGCTCTGAGCCATCAGCCCAGAGCCCGACGCGGGGCTCGAACTCCCGGAGCGCGAGATCGTGACCTGGCTGAAGTCGGACGCTTAACCGACTGCGCCACCCAGGCGCCCCTATAATTCTTATACTTAATTGATCTTTTCCCAAATAGTTACTGCTGTGATCAATTTTCAATACGCTGTTTTCCTTTTTTATTTTATTCTGCCCTGGAAAATTCATGCTCAAAGAGAGAACTACATTAAAAGACGGGGTGGGGGAGGATGGTAAATATGAGGATGAAATCAGCAGTTGACAAAAATCTCGTGAAATCTCAAAAGGTGTTAATATTCTGGAAACTTAGACTCACTAGAAGTCATTAAACTAGAAGTTTGGTTGAAAGATGAGTGACAATTTCTCCCATTCTTTTATTTTTCAAGACAAAATTCTGTATCTTTCCATATATAGCTTTTCTCTTCCTTCTACATCTCAGCCTAGGGGAGATTTCCAGAATGAGTCATTTATTTCCATCACTTCCAGACATGATTTATGCCTCTTCAATTTTTTTTTAGAATTTTTAATCTCTCATAGAGCATTTAAAACTTCTTAGTTGTAGGCCACGTGGATGACGTAATCAATTAAGCTCCCGACTTTTGATTTCGGCTCAGGTCATGAGCCCTTAGATGGGCTCGATCCTGACTGTTGAGCCTGCTAGGGATTTGCTCTCTCCCTCTCTCTCTGCCCTTCCCCTGCTCACACACACTCTCTCTCAAAATCAATAAATAAACTTAAAAAAAAAAAACTTCATTGGGGGCGCCTGGGTGGCGCAGTCGGTTAAGCGTCCGACTTCAGCCAGGTCACGATCTCGCGGTCCGTGAGTTCGAGCCCCGCGTCAGGCTCTGGGCTGATGGCTCAGAGCCTGGAGCCCGTTTCCGATGCTGTGTCTCCCTCTCTCTCTCTGCCCCTCCCCCGTTCATGCTCTGTTTCTCTCTGTCCCAAAAATAAATAAAAAACGTTGAAAAAAAATTAAAAAAAAAAAAACTTCATTGTAAATGGGAATTATTTATATATGTGTCTCACTTCCCTTACTAAATTGTAAATGTCGTGGAACCCAAGATGATATAATTTAACCTGTATATCTCACAACATCTGGCTTGAACGAGGGACTCAAAAACATTGTCGAATAATGAAAATGACCTAGTTTTAAAGCACAAATGATACCCACCGATTTCTTTTATGATTGTGAAAAATAATTGGGAAACATTCCCTGGTCCTGAAGAGGAAGATATTAAATTAAATAGAGTCCCTTTTTTATGCCATTAAACCATTATTAGTCCAGTCAAAATAATATTTCTTTACTTGTTGAGCTGTTTAATAAGACAATTAATTATCATATAATAGCTTTGGAGTAAAGGTTTATATGCGTGCAAAGTGGTATTATTCCAGGAGAGTTATGACATAGGCAATCTTTGGCTTGTGGGTGGAGTGGGTGGATGATATGATAAGATAGCAGCTGAAAAAACTTCAGTAAATTAGGAAATAAGGAATTACAACTTGCATTGTGGGAAGCTGGTGGAGAGTTCACCTTGCCTACACTTCTGATGGAGTGGTCTTAGAATTTTTTTTTTTTTTTTTAATTACATACAAGAGCTGTTGTTTTGCATATCCATTTTGGATCTGGCCAAAATGAATCAATGTCAGCAGCTTCAAAGAGCTAAAGAGGCATGTTTAGGCATGGCAAAAACAAAACAAAAACCGGGTGCCTTCAACACTGAACCAATTCAAATCACTTAATTCACGTACGTGTTCCTTCGACGAATACATATGTGGGGCCCCTTCTGAACCAGGCTCTATTCCCTTTTTCTCACAAAGCTTACATTTGGGTGCAGGAAGACAAGAAACAAGTAAATCTAGAGTGTGGTTGCTAGTAATACTTTCAGTAAGTGTGGTGCTGAAAATAAAGCACAAGGTATGGCTGAGGATACAAATGTTATTTCATACGGGGCGAGGTCAGGAGAGATGCACTGATAAGGTGACATGTGAGAAGCATTTTAAAGGAATGGAGTGTGCTACTAGGTATCTTGGAAAGATTCACGCAACAGCCATTGCAAAAACTCATGCAGGAGCATGCTCAGTGTTTGGTAAGTTCACCCTAGCCGCTGCTAATTCTCCTTCCTAGATTTTCAGCCAATTTATACTCCCTAACTAAGGTTTAGGGGGAAAAAATTCGTTAGGATATAAGAAAAATGATAATTTGTATAGTTTTGTTCATTTCAGTTAAGGCAAAAATGTTTGAGCAACTGAACTTTGGGGGTTACTTACCCTGAATGTAAAGTAAAACACTCAAACATACACACACATACATGCACATACAGACAACTTCTCCCTCTATTGTTTGCTTGCCTTACGCTTTGGTATTTTTCTACTGTTGGAGAAAATGAAGCCAAAAGTATGGGATAAGAACCAAGTCTGAGTCACCAGTATGGTGGTGGTGATTTTAGATGAGTATTTGCTGATAGAGAGCTCACAGCACATCAAAGCAAAGGTAGGGGTGCTGGTGGAATAAATATTTTAGAAAGAAAGAGCAAGTCATTTCTTGGTGGCATTGAAGGGAAGAAAAAGAGGCTCCTTTTAAATTTGAAGATCTGGGTATATTGTGCAATTCTTTGGCCACGGTTTATATATTTTATGAAATCTGACTGTAAAATTAAGGTTTTTTTTTCTTTCTGTATCTATAAAGAGGGAAGCACATGAATGGAAAATACTGCTGGCCACGTCATTATGAGTGCTTTCCTCTTCAACAAATGCATTTGCCACCTGTAGGATTTATCTCCAAAAGCAGCTGGCGGCTGGAGCAAAGTTTAGCTTTTTCCCTTCCCTTTCTCCTTTCTGTCATCTTTTGAATCTCATCTCCGCTCCTGATGTCAGATTTGTAGTGAAACGTTTTCACCTTATAGTCCTCTCTTCCTATGCCAGCGGTTCCCATGCACAGTGCAAAGACAGGAGTGTGTGTGTGGGGGGGGGGCGGGGATGGGGACTGGAGACGGGGAGGTGGCAGGGGGTACGGGGAGCTGCTCCATGCTTGCACGCTCTCTGAAACAAATCTGGAGTTGTTCCCAAGTAGGTGCATCTGTGCTATTATCAATACTGGCATACATATGTACAGAAACCTTGGGAACACTGCTAAGACCCGGGACCTTCTACTTGCATGAAATGACCTGTAACTCTTTCTTTCATTTACTTCCATTCCCAAGGCCTTTGACACATGTCAGAACCAGAAGCTCTTTGTGGCCTCCTCGCGCCTTACTTAAGAATTTTGCAGCAGTGCTATGAAAAGCACACATATCTGCGAACAGATACGAGATATAAAATTGTGGGGGTTACTAACATTAGAGATATTCCCAACAGCAAAACTGATTATCTAATGCGTATACAGGCACATAAAGATATATATTAGCTTTCCCAAATTGCATAATTTCTACCTAAATTAAGCACAGGTAATTTTGTTCAGAAGTATGGCTTTCTGGCAGTGCAACATAGTTTATTACCTTTCTCTAAATTGATTCAAATTTACTTAAGTGCTCCTTCTATACTCCTAATGGCCGTGTTAAAGAAAGAAACAACAAAGGCATAGTCGTCTTGCTTACCTAATTTATTTATGGGTAATCTTCTATTAATTTTTTGCCCTTTTATTTCAAAGCAACATACAAAATGAAGAAACTTGCAAAATTGCTGAGATCTATAGTTTGCAGGGAAATAAAAAGATCTCGATGAAAATTGAAAACATTACCAAATGTGTAATATTTGCTTCCAAAACTGCTGATAGTATCTCAGCGTTTAGTGTTGAAGCCAAGGTCATAGGTGAGATTTTCATGTGAGCCAAGTACGTCTCTGTCCAGAAAGTGGAAACTACGGATGAATCAAGGAAAAATGTAAATCCATTTTTATATTTGGAAAACCAAACTAAGTCCTGCCATGTTTTTTCCATCCTGTGAACCAGAATTACTATTTTTTACTAGACCCAAATCTTGGAAATGTTGCCATTTTTTAAAATCTACACTGGAAAACATGATATTGTGGTACTACAGACACATTTAGTCAGACATTTGCATTCATTGATTCTCAAGAAAGGTGTTGCTTTCTAAGACAACACAAAACACCCATCTTACTGAGACCTAGTTTTTTAGTGACATAGTCTCTCCCAATGAAATGGTGAATAAAATCACCATCAACAAGACACAACTTATTTGGAGTTCTAAGCTTTAAATACCCAGGAGACCAAATGGATTATCCAGTATGACCTAATTTCCTGACCCTGGTTCCCTCTTGCCGACTTTCCACACTTGTAAATAGAGTGCAAATTCCAGTGAGGAAAGAAAAGAAATCCACCCCCAAGAGCCGGCCTGTTAAAAATGTATCTATGCAGTAAGTGTATGTACCACTGTGTAATTATAATAACATAAACAAATCCACTATAAGGACATTCACATCAGACCTAATTTCATGCTGAACTATTATAATGCAATTAACAGCCTCATAGTCCTATTTTAATTAAGCTCTGTTGTGAAATATGCAGCATTTGAACCTGTTCCGGCCTGTTTCGTCTATCATTGAATTACCGCCCTTAACTTGTTTTTCTGCTGAGCGATGAGTTTCATTTAAGGATTACAGTTTGCGGGTCTGGCATTTTGTGGGTTCTTCTAAGCCACTGTGTGTCCAGATTGAGCTCTTCAGAGGCGTACTTCCTGGGCTGTCCTGGAAGGGAAGGGACGGAGTCAATTGGTTTTATGAAAGAGATTTCAGATGACAGGAGAGTTCACTTCAGACTCAGTAGGGCACAGTAGCTGTCTTCTGGCCTATCATTTCCAGAAATACTGAGTGAACTCCAATTTTCCAGGGATATTACTCAGACTGCCAAATAGTTTAACCATTCCTCACTAGGAAATGGAAAACAAAGGTATCTATAGAAAATGCACTTTATAGAAAAATCATATCCTGCTTCCTTCCTTTTATCCCTCACCTACCCTAGGCAAGAATGTCTAGGTTGTCTGGTATTTGCCTTAACAAATCTTTCCCTTCCTCTATTTGGATTGCCTTCATGGTCTGAAAAAAAATCAAATGAGAAATATTGCACGTGAATATTTATCAACTATCAAAAGGCAGTTTGCTGAGAAGCTTGTTACTCTACAGCTAGTTTGAAAGAAATAGAGCGAAAAGTCAAAGAGGACATAGTCGCCAAGAATCACGTTCGCTCACGTAGGTTATTCAGGCTTGAGCCAAAGGACCAAAGAAAAATCGAATGGTGATTTCCTCATCACTCCTCACCTCTGTGTCCATCCATCTGATCTGCCTTTCTTCAGATTTAGTTCCCGTTGTAAAAATCCATGTTCTTCTTCTTTTTTTAATTTTTTTTTTTTTTTACCTTGCCCTACTTTCTTAACCCTAGGGAGGATTTTAAGAAGGTTTCAAAGCTAAGCATCCCCAACTGCTTCAGGCTGTCTTTGGTTGTAAGTCAGAATATAAAGCAATTACCCGTAGGGTAGGATGCGTTCATGGCCAATGGGAGAATGTTCAGTATATCAGCAGGTAACCGAAAATATTCTCTTCGGCGTGAACATCTGGTTCAGATTCTTAACCATTTCTAGTGAGGTTTTATGGGTCTCTTTCCCTCACCTCTGCTGTGCTCTGCCTTCTTTTCCATAAGGAGCGTGTACCCATACAGCAAAATAATGGGGTTTAACCTGATCCACATGCTTTGCTGTTGACAGGTATTTGATTATCCTATCTTAAGAACCGCTAGCTAGAAATCCTAAAAACAACCCCAATTGCTTTAGTGTTACAACTTTATGGTCCAAAAGAAGGGAGAATAACACACCCTGGTATTTTTTCTGGTTGATCTTCGATTCAAAGGACCTCAAGACAATTCCACGGGGTATAGTAGACTTAATGTCCGCAGTGCTTTTGTTAAAATTGTTGTAATGTTTGTTTATCTCTGAGAGCCAGAGAGAGACAGGACATGAGCGGGGGAGGGGTAGAGGGGGGGGATGCCCGCAGTGCTTTTGACACTGCCTCTATTCCTGGTTTTCGTGACGACCTGTGCCACACTCTTTTTGAGTCAAAAAAGGGTGTTTATAGAGTTCCCACCCAGGATAAAACAAAAACAAAACAAAAACAAAAACAACCAAAAAATTAAAAAAAAAAAAAAAAGCAAAACCGAAAACCAACTTCCTTCGGATTCTTCCAGACGAGCACCTAACTCAAGGGAAAACTCCGCGTCCATGGTCATGTTCGGACACATCCCCATTCTGCAGCCACACGCGAACACACCAAGATAGTAGTGTATTACGTGATCAAACGGTGTAATCAGAGGTGCACGGGCTTCGGAGTGAGACCAACCTGGGTTCAAATATCAGAGTGACTTGATTATTGTTGGGGTCTCATGTCTTTTCCCCATCTGAGCTATGTGAGAAAATTAAGGAAACCCAGGAACCAGACCGAAGGCCACAAATATGCCAGCCTCATCACTGATAAAGCCATTTGGAAGATACGGGTCTAGATCAGCTGCCAGGTGGGCTTGTTAATGCATCACCCCATAAGGAAGGAGACTCGACAAGAGACAGAGTTGGAATGCAAGGTCGATCTCAGAAGAGCATACTCTTGTTAAACCTAGACTATGGATGGGCAGAGAATATGAGTGCTTCCTAGAGGCAGCTTGGATGTAACAGAACGAAAGGGACGGGACGGGGGGGGGGGGGCGGGGGGCGGTATTCTGATTTCTTGTTCCGAGTTCACCAGGGAGAGAATAAGTAAAGTTGTGGAGAGAAGCTAGGAGTGTAGGGCTAACTGAGGTGAATAAGGATAATGAATAAGCATTATCTCTTAGTAAATATCATCACATCACTGTGTCTCCAGACAAGTTGCTTAACATTTCTGAGCCTTAGTTTCCTAATCTAGAAAAAGGGAATAATACACCAATTTGGCAGACTTGCAACGTTAAATAAAAATATACATACAGACGTGTGTGTGCGTGTGTGGTGCGTGTTAACCGCCCATGTTAAGACCTGCCACTAAATATTGTTGACTTACTTTCAAGTCCACCTACCTCTTTCTTCCTAGACACTTAGATCAAAGATGTCTCGGGGCAGAGAGCAACTTATGCTCTCTTCCCTAGGATTAGAAATGGTTAAAAAGGAGAGGACCAAGGAAGTGCGTCATCCAAGTGAATAAAAACTATTTAAGAAATCTCCTCGGTACGTTTTCCTGCCCAGATCCTGAAGATCACTTACCATTTGAAATGAGTCGGCTTCCAAAGTAGGAGTTGCTGCTCCGCAAATGTGTGTACATCTTCATAGACCTGTAGGTGGACAAACGGTGTCCAGGACTGCCACACGGGTTCGTTTCATATTGCATTTCCAAGACAGAGAGGCTCTCATCTATCAAGGCTCCAATCTAACTCCCGTATCACCCGGTACTTTGTGGAAGGCGCGGAGGCTCTATGGGTTTCCCGGACTTGCCATGCTTGTTCCCGTCTCATTCATTGTATTCTGCTTTTCCCAAAGCTCCATCTTTTACATCCAGAGGCTGGGAAACATCAGTGAATGGGTGCCTTTAAAGAAGAGAAGGAGAGATGTATGTAATACCTGGCCTGGAGCTGTGGGCACGGGGCGGAGAGCTAGGTGGCCTCGGTGCTGAACCTGCACAGACTTCTTAGGGGCCTGAAGGGCGGGCTCTCATGGTTCCTGTCCTGATTTTTCCCTGGGGGTGTGTGGTGTGGCTTACCATCCTCACCAGGCGACCACGCACATTTAAGAATGAATTATAAAAATTGATTTGTGTTTGCATAGTTGCTACCACAGTTGTGACATAGTTTCACAAATTTCTCATACATTTTGAGATAGTCAATGAATTGATTATCGCCCCCCACCAAAGCTGCACTACGTGCTCACTCACCATGGCCCCATTTCAGTGGGGTCACTGGCCAGTGGGGTCTCAGGCTTTGAGGCCTCTCTTTCACTTACACCTCTGTATCTACCTAGCAACCAAACTCTGGTGGGTCTACCTCTGGAAAAGAAATCATGGACTCTGTCTTCAATCCAACCCAAATGCCAGCCTTCATCATCTATCTTGGGTGGGATGATCTCCAATCTCTTGTCCTTCTGGTCTACCTTTCCTGATGCTTTCAGCTCTATTCCTGTAAAATACAAGTCAAATCAGGCCTCTCCTCTGTTCCAACCCCCCCCCCTTTACGAATCACAATCAAAATATGTTAGCACAGCGTCTGACAGCTTTGCAATCCCAGATGATGTTTCCAGCCTCATATCCTGGCCCTCACACTCCTGCTACAATCCAATCCACGGGACCATTCATCGGCCCTTGAGTCCAACGTGCACGTTTGCATATCAGTACCATTAGGACTACTGCTCCTTTGCGAGAAACACCTATGGTTCTTTTCACACCTACTGAAATCCTGCGAGGGTCTTGAGATACAATTCAAATCTTACTTCCTCCATAAGGTTCCTTCTGTGTACTCATCACAGCTAAAGTTGAGTTAAATGTATGCTTACCATGAATTCCTGCTAGACTGTTAGCTCCTAAAACATATTTCGATTTTTTCAGAAACCTTAGAACGGATCCTCAGTAAACTCCTGTTTCTAATTATAATAGACCTTGATCTTTTCTCATTCAAGCCATTTACCACTTCTGTACCTGTTCATACAGATTTCAATCTTGCCTTTTTAGTTTCAAAGAAAAAAGAATCACTAGACTTGAAGTAACGAGTAATTGGCCAGAACTTTCTTTCAGTTTGCTATATCTTTACATATTTCTGAGTGTTTAAAGTATTTGTGAAACGTATTAGGAGGAGTTGACTTTGGAGCACACGTTTGCTATGGACTTTATGCAAAAAACAGATAAATGTTTCCTGCCTCAGAAAAAAACCAGTGAGGAAAGAAATCCATTGACTACTTTCCTCTGTCTACTTCTGAAATTATGGCATCTACAGATATGAAAATTGGAAATTATAGAAAGCATCTATATAGCTCAATGGGTGTAGGAAATGATAAGATATCTGGAGACTAGAAGGTTTATCAGCCACAAACAAATGTTATAATGGTACAGTCTAATCTTCATCACCAATATTTTAAAGTTTTTAAAAAAGAGAGGGGGCAGACAGAGGAGACAGAGAATCCCAAGCAGGCTCCGCGTCATCAGCGCGGAGACTGATACAGGGCTCGAACTCACAAACTGCAAGTTCATGCCTTGAGCCAAAGTGAAGAGTCAGAGATGCTCAACCAACTGAGCTACCCAGGCTCCCCTTCATCACCGATATTTTACACAAGCAATAAAACAGTGTCTTTTCCACTCATTCCTAATTCAGTTAATATTAATGAAGGCCCCACAGGTACATCGTATCAGAAAATAGAATTGTTACCTGAGAAATCCTACCAGAAAAAAAAGTCCAGTAAGTACAACAGTTGGGATCATTACAAAGGCAAAATAGTAGGTAAATGTAAAAGTAGGCAAAAATCCTGCCCTGTGCAGTTCAGCAAAACACATCTTTAATTTATCTTGTCCACTGTTTTGATGATGCCGAGACTTAGCACTTAGCACAGCGGGAACAAGGAAAAATGAGCAAGGATTTCTTTTGGATGAGAATGCACAAACACCTATTCGTAACGCCATTCGTAAGCATTTTTTTTTTAATCAACATTGTCATTGTCACATCCCGCTTGATCTTCCTACTTTGGGTTAATATGGGAGCCAATTACAGCTTCATCTGTTTAGAATTAACTTTATGGAGCACACACCGGGGATTTGTCTATCTACACTATTTAGATACATGTCATAAAAATATGCATGGAATGGAGTGCAGGCATTGCAGATGGCAGAGACCTACGGATTTATTGTAAAATCATTTAAAATTGGTTATGCTCTTGCCAGAAGTTAATTAATTTTTTTCTCTTCATTTCTGGGGCCGGGGGGGTTGGGGGGGGGGCTCTGTGTCTCACTAGGTGGCAGTGTATGATTATATCTGGAAAAACCATGGCTTCAAGTCCAGAATCTCCAGCTGTGACCTCCAAAAGCAAAATGAAATTTCTGTGTCTGCACTTGGTCCAGGAGATATTATTTCTCATGTATCTATATACACCGTTTATCCCAGTGGATTCCAAGAGCTGTACCGCCATTTTCTCAGACTCCCCAGTGGTGCCATTGTTGAGGTACGTACATATGAAAATATTTTAATGCAAATGCTGTGTACTTTCAGTGCATGAATGTATATGTTTGTGTGTGTGTTAAAACTTGATTTCAAGGGCTGCAAAATTACGTTGCGAGCATATTGTAATTAATGTTTTTTTTAATACCCCAAATAGACTTGATGATCTATTTCAGTGTTTTCCTTTAGAAATAAAGGCACTATGTAGGAAATAAACTGTTTCTGCACATAGTTGTGTGGGAGAGAGATGGAAACAAATCAAGTGAAATAATTCAGGATTCAGCCTACGCCAACTTTGACTCAGTTAACATTCGTAAATATCAGCAGGTTGATAAAGAGGGGTTCTCTGAGTCCATGGACACTTCAATTTCTCAGGAAAGTACACAGTCCCTGGCTGAAATTCTCTCACACAAAATAAATGAAATGGTGGCATTTCATACTATTTCCATGAGAAAATTCTTAAAGCATTAGGTGCTCACCCTTAAATTTTAAGAAACGTTCAAGTAGCACGTAGCAAAGGTCTTGAAGTCATGTTTTCTCTTAAAAAGTCAGAGCCTTTAGGTGAGCTAACTTGAGTTTAAAAAAGAAATCTCTCACATTGCACCACATTCTTAAAATCCAAATTTCATGGCACGTTTAAACCTGAGGCTCAGCCCTATTTGCCTCAGTGTTACTGAATTCCGAAGTCAGAATGAATTTCCCATTATATGGTGGAGATAAAGGGTACAGGAGAAGGAAAATTTAGATACATTTCATGTCTGGTTCCCTGGACGTGTTGGCATGCGAATCACTTAACAGTGCCACACTATTAATTGGTAAGAATTTGCAGAATATTTCTGTTCCCACTACCCTTTCCCTATGGACTTTGGCCATTGTTTTTATTATAAAGTTGATGAAGGCCTGTCCTCATAAAATTCATTTGAATATAACCTTGAGGAAATTTCACGTGGCTTGGAGAGCAGTCTTGCAGATAGGGAGCCTCTCGTGTCTACAATCCCAACCCACCACAGTGTTTGGGTACTTGAGCGACTCACATAGAGACTGTACTTGGAAAAAGCACAGACGTGCCCCAGGATTCTTGATCGCTTCACCTCCTCACTCCCTTACTGAGGTGGGAAATGACAGAACTGTGCCTATTGGAGCAAAGCAACAGGTAGGGAGATTCTGAATGTATGTGATAGAATTCTTTGTGGGTTTGGGTCAAGGGCTGCTGTAGGGTCCTTTTTAGACTTCTGAAGCATTTGCTTTAGAAATCTCCGTATGGAGCAAAACTGCCCTGGTTTAATTGGTTTTTTTTTTTTTTTTTTTTTTTGGTGTTTTCTTGTTTTGTTTTGTTTTTCTTGTTTTGCTTGTTTTTATTTTGCACAGGTGTGTGCTTAGATACGTGCATACACCGTGCACTGAAAGACCTAAAGAAGCCAGGACACCAGGGGTGTCTGTGCTTCTGTTACAAACCATCTTGTGGCCACTTGCAGGCCTTGGGACCTGAGCGGGAAGGCCCCGCGCGAGATGGCGCGTTCTCACTAGCCGAGCAATCATCAGGACCCTTTGATTCACTCACTTCTGCATTTGCTCCAGAGCCCTGCCTTCGTCATTCCTCACTCCTCTCTGCCTACATTCTTATCTGTAAAACTGGGTTCATGTATACGTCTGCTCCCTGCCTCATAGAGATTTGAGGCAGATGAACGGGATCACATTTGCAAGGTACCTTTAGCTCTTTTTCTTAAAAAAGTGTAACATAAAGATGCCGAAGTATGATGGATCATGCAGTGTTAAATTCATTCAACTGGTCAACATTGTTTCCCCAAGTACTAACAGCAACATTATGCTAAAAAAGAAGTCACTTTCTGGAAGGATTGAATCGTGAGGCAATAGGGCTCATGGGCACATCTGACTCTCTTAGCCTGTGTTTTTGCCACTATTGCATTATGTGGTGGTAACGGTAGAGTGGCATGGGTGATGCAAAAGTCCACCCCGGCATTTGCGAACCTGTACCCAGCAGAGATTCTAGCAAATGCTGAACCAGCTCTCCCTCTTTTGCAGATGCAGGAAAAGAATGCACAAGGTCCTGCTTACTAGTGGGTCTGCAGTCTAGACATTCCCCACTTATTTCTTCATGCTTTGCTTTTCCTGCTTTTGGCTCTATGAAATCTATTGAAACCCATTTCAAACTGACCTATCCCCTTGCACCTTCTCTAACACTTAGCACGAGTACTAGATTTTATTTAGCTTTTCTAAACTTGTTTCCAGTATGAAATTTTGTCTCCTAAGAGGACAGGAACCATAAAACAGTACCAGTTGTGGAGCAACTTGAATATTAGACAAATTTTCTTTCAGCCACATGGCCGGCTACTGACAATCGTCTTAGTTTCCTCCCTACCTCTCCTCACCCTCACCAGGTTACTTCCAGGTGTGTTATTGGCTTTGTGAGCTATAAAACCTGAAGTTGGAGGGCATTTGAGACCGGTCTTTTGTAACCTCAGTGAGAGATGAAATTAGTGTATTTCTTTCCCAAAGATGTATGCATTGAAAAGAAATTTCAAAAATCAACATCTAGGTAGATGATGCTTTCTGGATTAAAGAAAAATCTATTTGACTTTTAAAATTATGGTTTATAAGTGGTCACCTACTCAGATAAAGTTAACTTCTACCCTCGAGCTCCCTATCTCTATACTAAGTGTGGTATTGATGCTCTAGGAAATCTACTAAATTGCATTGACTTCCTGGATGCCAAACGGTTCTCCAAGGTTCATAAGTGGGCACCATGGTATCCTTTCCATTAACGCCCACATTATGTGGATTGAGAGAACTTCTATTTAGGAAATGACTTAGACCCACTTGCAAATACCTGTGAGATCCAAACCACATTTTTAATGGATACTCTGCTATGGGAAGAAAAAGGTAGCTGTGTCTGAGCCTCATTTATTTAGAAATCTAGATGTGGCAAAAAACAAAATAAAAATGGATGAAATTTTGCTTCAGCCTTCTAGCCTGAACATGAGTCTTAAAGGTTTTATGGTGGATTTTATTTTATTTTTTATTTTTTTTTTGACGTTTATTCATCTTTGAGAGACAGAGAGAGACGGAGCATGAGCAGGGAAGGGGCAGAGAGGGGGAGACACAAAATCAGAAGTAGGCTCAGGCTCAGAGCTGTCAGCACAGAGCCCGACGCAGGGCTTGAACTCACAAACTGTGAGATCGTGAGCTGGGCCAAAGTCGGACGCTCAACCGACAGAGCCACCCAGGCACCCCTATGGTGCATTTTAAATAGAATTTCTAGTTCCGTAAGATCCTTTTGCATTTAACACAGCTCTAACTGGTGATAAGAGTGATTTCAAAGCCTCTCCTTATCCTGATATGAAATATAGGTCATATGTTAACCTTTTTCTTTCTCTCAATAAAACCCTAGTAATTTGGGTTTGAACAAATTATCTTCAAGATTTTATTTTTATGGAAAGTCATGTTTTTGGAACAGAATGGGTTCTACATTAAAGAGGTCAGATTTCACACATCTGAAATAGAAGTTATATTACCAAGGATCTTTGCAATGGATTTGTGTTCACCATTTTGTTTTTCATCCAGACCTGTCACCCATAAGGACATGGCTCTTACTGTGTTCTACATATTTTGCTTTAAGGAGTAAAGTGCCCCCCCCCCCCCACACACACACTTGTGCAGAAGGTCATTGCTCTGTCTGTCGATGAGCACCTCTCTTTAATTCTCTTTTTATCTTTACCTCTGAGCTCAGTGATTCCTTAGACCCTCAGAGATCAATGCTTCATCTCTACTCCATAGGTAGGCTATCCTGTGTGTGCATGTTTTTTCTTTCTTTCTTTTTTTTAAGTACAAAGTTACTTTAAAGTTTTTAATGCTACAAAACCTAGAAACCCAGGCAAGACTAGTACAGATTCATCAAGTCACAAATAAGCTTCCCGATCCCAGGGTATCCGCTGCAATTAAGAAAGTCCTTGGAGCATTGGTTGGGGTGGGATGGGAAAAGGGTTTTTTTTTTTTTTTTTGGTCATTAGAGGCAGTGTCGCCCGGTGGTCTGAGCGGAGAAGTGGGAGTCAGGAACTCGGCGATCTCACAGAGGCTCTGTGAGACCCAGCTGAGCCGCTTCGGGCAAGTCTCTGGGCCTCAGGAGGACGGGCTCACCTACTTTGAATCTCCCATCTGAAGAGCTCCTTACCCAGGGCCAGGAGATACACAGCAGGAAGCCTGATTCCTTGTCTGCAAAATGAGAATATTAATACTTGCCTAAATAACACATTAACCAATTAATGATTGTTAAGTGCTCTGCTGATAGAAAGCAGCAGGAGAAGAAAGGCAAAAAAGAAAAATGGAAACACAGTTTTGTTACTAGATGAGTTTTACTCAGCTCTGGGCTTTTCTTCTGCTCATGGAGTTCAGTTACCACACAGTGCAAAGAGTAGGTGTTGGGACTGGACCTTTGTTAGTCTCAATGAGAAGATCGCAGATAAGTTGACTGTCCCCTGCAAATCTATATAATGCTTTGAATAGGCAGAGTGGAGGGGTGGGGGAACCACTTGAATTTGGTCCTTGAATCAGTAAATTGCATGGGGAAACATCATTCATATAATTGAGACTTTTCAGTTTTAACTCATATTTTCAAATCCTTCAGGAAAGACTAGTGAATTTCAAAATTCCCACATTCATCAACTACAATGACCAATTTGCAGAGTGTATGAGATAGAGAAATATACACACTAATGTGGAAAAGAAATCAATAGGAAAATACAGAAAATTGGGGGGTCTCTGGAATATATTCGTTAAATGTATACATTGTTGATGATAGCTTTCATTTTCAGGGGGATTTCTTCCATCCATGCTTTTATTTTGTTAAAAGGCATTGCACATGGGAAGGAAAAAAGAAAACATTCGTGCAGTTTGTCGTTTTTATTGTGTACAGTTTTAGATTCACCTAAAGAAATATTAAAATTAATTTATGCATGCAAATGGGAGAAAGTCATGTTTTCATTCCCT